GCTCATTTGTTTCCCGACTGCTCAGACCCAAATAATCACATATAACTATATTAATTACAACACTGTATGGCTTAAGCATATTCCTAGCTAGCATCTTACATCTTAAATTAACCGATTTTTATTAATCTATGTTTTCACCACGAGATTGTGGCTTCTGGGGTCATCCTTCTGCAGCTACATGGCGTCTCCCTGATTCCACCTTCTTTCTCCCTGCATTCAATTTAGTTTTTCCTTTCTTGCTGTGTTCTGCCCTGCTATAGGCCAAAGTTGCTTCTTTATTAACCAGTGGTAATAAAACATACAGCATACAGAAGGGAATCTTACATTAAAGAAACATTTCCTGGTGTATCTAAAGCATGTCCAGATTTATAACTTCAGTGCTGTGCTTTCAAGCTATTTATTAACTGAAACCCAGGTTACTTTAACACAAACACCACACTACAGTGACACTGGTCTCTTGACCAAAGGAAGGGAACCTGTGTGTGATGGCAAAGGGAAGATTTGTGTCGTAGGCAAACTCGTGTACTACTCAGATCACCATACAATCTAATGCTTGCCAGTTGCTGACTTCTGTGATTTTTCATTTACTTTTTTTTTTTTTTTTGGTTTTTCGAGACAGGGTTTCTCTGTGGTTTTGGAGCCTGTCCTGGAAGTAGCTCTTGTAGACCNCCCCCCCCCCGCTTCATTTACTATTTTTGCCTGTACTGGATGATTGGGAGCTGCAACTGGAAAGTAGAAACACAGATAAAAGGATCCAACTATGTCCTGCTCTGTATCAGCTTTTTCTTAGCATCCATTCATTATGCTTGCCAGATTTCATTGAGTTTATTTAAACATTTACTATAGAAACTTAGCATTACAAAGTTTTCTCTTTTTTTTATTATGAATATTGGTCTTAGTTACAAGACCAGTAGTATACCTAATTTTACTTGTCTTCAAGATTCAAAAAAAATATTAGTTTTGCATTAATAAAATATTCAGTGAAATTTAAGATTTTTGTCGCACTTCTTTTTGGTCTTTAAGTATGTTTCAGTAACATAAAATTGATACTTGGAATAATTATGGTTGTCATAGTGATAGACTTGAACACAGAACCTGGAGCTACACAAATGCCTGAGAATGAATTATACTCGAGCTCAATAAATTTTTCATTGTGGTCCTGTTAACATATGATGTATACTTAGGCTTATTTGTTTCAATTTATTTTCAGTTTGTGGGCTTAGGTTATTTGTGTTCTTCTCAATTTAATTTTTGAATATGTAAAATGTTTATATTGACTAACAAGAAGCAAAATTACATAAAACCTATTATCAAAAGCAATGTCCCCATTTTTGTCACCAAACCCCATTCCACAGGTAACACTTCCTGGTTTCTGCTTTTCTTCTTTCTTTCTTTTTTTTTTTAAAGATAATAAATATTCTTGTGTGGATTTTATCATGTTTTAAAGTATAAATTAGTGGACTGGAGAGATGGCTCAGTGGTTAAGAGCATTGACTGCTCTTCCAGAGGTCCTGAGTTCAATTACCAGCAACCATATGGTGGCTCACAACCATCTATAATGAGACCTGGCGCCCCCTTCTGGCTTGCGGGCACACATGGAAGGAATGCTGTACACATAATAAATAAATATACATACATACATACATACATACATACATATATGTATATATATCAATTAGAATGTTGTGGATATTTTTCTGTGCCATTTAAACTTACTATAACCTGAGAATATTACATTCAACCTGTTTCCCTAAAAGCATTTTATGGATCTGGATGGTACAGTGTTTACTGTGGATAATTATATCTTTTTTATACATAATGGTAATTTTCCTTTTTTCTATGTTTCCTGTTAACATCATTTAGTTTGTTTTTTCTTTTTGATTTGGTATGTGTGTGCGCACATGCATGCATGTGTGTATGTGTTTAGACAGGGTCCCAACCCAGGGTAAGCTCTTAACTCCTCTGCCTACTCTGTGTTGGGGATTATAGTTCTCTATGTATTTATTAGTTAAACCCTTTAGATATGTTTTTCCCAGTTTTTCACTAATCTTTTCACTTTAATTTAGTGATTCTTCTTCAGTTTGTCACATCATTTCTCTGTATGTACTTGAATTTATCAAGTTTTCCTTTTAAAGCTTCTGAATTTGATTTCAGAAATGTATGACGTGCTGTCATGCTGTTTCTAGATCTGTGATTCATTAGTAGTTAATGTAGTGATCTGCTGTTCACTGAAATCTGCCTCTATCTCCCCGCCATCCAGCTGTCCAGCTGAAATTCATTGGTTTTGTTCAGTGATTTGTGACGCTCTCTCTATCTAGTTTTCATGTATGTTTGGCCCTCTTTTTTTGTGTGTGTGGGGGTAGATTCCTTCCTGATCCTTTTGCAATGCATTGATGTCAAAGATTTTATGTCTTTGTATGTTATGGGGTCCGTTTCCTTCTGCAAATACTCCTGTGTTTATGGTCTTTCTTAGATACTCTTGTTCATTTTTTAGATAAAATTAGAATTCATTAGTTTTGTTCTGGGAAAAAGTTACTTCTATTAAGGAGATAACATCTTACCCAAGAACAAGGAATGTCTTAATTTATTCATGTCTATTCTTCTTTTGTCCTCTCAAACTGATTTTCTTATAGTTATGTGTATAATTTTATTTGTTTATTTTGTTTTTTCGGGGAAAGGTTTATCTGTGTAGGTTTGGAACCTGTCCTGGAACTCACTCGGTAGACCAGGCTGGCCTTAAACTCACAGAGATCTGCCTGCATCTATAATTTATGTATAGTATGTATTGTATACTATATGTATATTGTAACTTATTTTATATACGTGAATGTATGATAACATAGTTTAGAAACTTACATATTTAAATTAATATTTATAAAAATATGTCTTGTAACATGTAAATTTCGAAGCTTTTTACTATAGAAAATTCAGACAGAGGTTTTTAATATAGTATAATGAATCCCCCGTCCGTGAACAGTGAATATTTTCACATGTGACATTATTAACTTACCAGTTTGTCTCCATTCTCAATTCTGTGTAACTTCACAAGGCATATTTTTTCTAGGCCAATGACATTAGTAACCTTATTTTTGTAGTCTTGGAGAAAAATTTGTTTGTTTTAATATGTGTTGCTAGTATTTGAAGTATTTCAGATAGCACTTAAGTGACATTTCCAAGTACAATAAAGGCCAGGCCCCTTGGTGCATTGGTGCATGTCTTTAACCCCAGCACTTTGACAGTAGCAGCAAGTGGATGTCTGCTGGCTTTTTCACATTAGCCTGTTTGCACAGTGAGACACTGTTTTGTTTAACAAATTTAATAATTTAACAAAATGACATCAAAACAAAAGATTTAAATAATATTTTCCTGCCATGGAATTTAACTATTCAGAAATGAATATGTATAAAGGACTATAATATAGTTCACTAATGAATTATCCAGTAAGATGATGATAAGTTATGCTAAGTATTTAAGATCTTGGGACTGTGCTGTCCTTTAAAAAAAAAAATGTGCTAAAATAAGATTACTAAGTTTAGTACCCTATAGGTTACCTTTGGGTGTCTTTTCTATTTGATAGAAATCATTTCCATATGTCCTGGACACCGATCTGCTACTACTATGTCTCACCACAGAGCCAGAGTCCTTTATTAATAATGAGTAGCTAAATTTGGAACAAATATATATTCATCTAGAAAGCTAAGTAATTCTAGAGTCAGTTATTAACTAATCAAATCGCCTGCTGTTGTCTGGTTCCACACTGCTCCTGCTGGGGAGGTTTTGTTGTGCTTACTCTGTGTTGTGCTTGGCCTCTCCTGACAGAGAGGCTTATTGCAGCAGGGATGGCTGGCCTTCAGGCTAAGACTCCCAGATTAAATTGTGCTTCAGGACACGTTGCCTTACTCCCAAGATTGGGGTAATGTTTGCAATAAAAAGCCAAGTGGAGATTGGGGTGGTAAAGTGCACTCTGATGTTCCGGTACCTGGTGGAGGTCCATCACCATCTGTCTGCTGTGCTCCTTTCTGTGCGTACAACCTCCCTCTCCCCTGTGCTTCATGTCGCATGGTAACCTTCTTTTCCAGCTGGCATAAGAAGTATGTTAAGGTGCTCAAAATATTCATTATACTGACAGAATTGTATATGTGTGTCTTTTTTAATTAGGCCTGTATATATTGTTTATAGTGCTTGCCTAAAAGTAAAACCAATGTATAGGTTGATTTCACTTAGCAAAATTGGTGGGATTTTTAACTGATGTCTTTTTGGCTCTTCATTGTCCCACCCTGAACTGTTGCTTTGGAGTTAAGAAAATCTCCTGTGTACGGCTTATGTTAAGCAAAAGAAGAAAAGGATTTTCTTAGTGCTAAATTTTTAGAATGTATGAATGGATTTCATATGCGATTTTAGGTAAGAAACCTGAAAAGGCACCTTAAATTTATTAGAAAGACACAGGACGGTTAGCTTTCACATTAACTAAATACTGGTGATTATTTTAATGACAGATAAAACTATTAAACACTTAAAGTATTCAATTTTCTGAAGAGGTTTTGTTTACTTGTCTGCCTGAGGCAGGGTTTCTATGTAGCCCTGACTGGCTTTAAACTCACAGAGATCCACTGGCTTGATTGCCACATGCTGGAATTAAAGGGTTTGTTTGTTTGTTTGGGGGGGGGCATTCTATTAGTGGTGGTGGTAGTTTTTTGTTTGTTTTTTGCGGTTTTGGTTTTGGTTTTTTTGATTTTTTTTGAGACAGGGTTTCTCTGTGTAGCTCTGGAACTTATTCTGTAAACCAGGCTGGTGTCAAACTCAGAGAGATCCGCCCGCCTCTGCCTCCTGAGTGCTGGGAGAGGTTTAAATCTTAACATAAGCTTTTCGGCTTGATAAAGGTTACATATGGTATAGGATTCAAGAAACCACCATTTATCCTTATATCCAATATAAAATCAAAAATGATTAAAATAGAATTTTACTACATAATCTGCTCTTTTGTTGTTACTGTTGTCAAGATAAAGCAAAAGGAGAGGAAGAATAATGCTGACACTTTATATGAAGTTGTGTGTTTGGAAAGTGAGTCAGAGAGAGAGAGGAGGAAAACCACAGCCAGTCCTTCAGCTCGCCTGCCACAGTCTGGATCTCAGAGCTCCATGATCCCCTCTCCTCCAGAAGATGATGAAGATGAAGGTAAGTGTAGAGAGATTGTGTGGAGGGTGGAGGGCTATCCACACTGCTGCAACTCCATCTAAAGATGGGGCTGGTGGTGGGACACGGGATTGGAACTCATTCAGTGAGCACTTGTGAGATTTTCCCATAGACAAGCAACTAGGAAAGGCTGGAAAATAGTCAATGTTGGCCTTTCTCTGTCTCTCTGTCTCTCTCTCAGTATTTATTTTTGAGTATGTTTGTTTTGTGCTTGTGACACAGTGCACCTGTTGTTTCTTTTCACCCTGAGGTCACTAAACATACAGTACCACCTTTACCTAAGGAACCATCTCACCAGACCACACTGGGCATTCTTTAAGGTACCTGTAATCCAGTTGAGGAAAATGAGATTTTATAATCTGCTGGTCACTATTTAATGGTAATATGCAGAAGTGGAGACTAGAGGAAGTCTCGGGCACAGGAAAAGAGAATATTTCACAATGATTTTCTAGCTCATAGCAGTACAACGGCTTCATTTTTAATGAATGAAACGGATGACGATAGAAGGTCATTTGAGTTTGAATCTGAAGTTTACTCGAAATTCATAAAATTTTTCACTGGAGGATCTACTGGGACATCATAAGGGTGGTTTCTGAGCTGGGATTGAAAGTACAAAAACTCAGTGGAGATGAATGGGCTTCTCTGAACATTTCTAGCTAAGAAATCAAATTAACAAAAATACAGAGATGTAAGGAATCAGTATCTTCATTAAAAGAGATAAATACCCATGATTGCATGTGCATTTTCAAGGTTAGAGTAAGCAATGACTTTGTAAGTCCTCATTTTTTTTGTTTGTTGGTTTTTTTGGCATAATTCCCTCTCATTTGTAATTAATCACCTTATGTTCAGTCTTTAGGACTATTAATGCCTAATGATTAAGTGCAAAGTGTCTCATTCTCAATAATCCTCACAGTAAACCTAAAAGTAGGAATTATTATTGTCCTCGTTTTTCATATTAAGTAAAATGAGAGAGAAGTAAATTGCCCCAAGCTACAGGGATAGAAAATGGCAGTTACAATGTCAATCAAACTCATGTACTTAAATCTGAAGTGAAGTCTTCATCTTCTGCATTTAGTTCTCATAAATCATTGAAATGCAGAAAAGGCCCATGTGTTTTTCAAACCAGTTCAAATTATGTTTTTCCTTCTTTTTTCTTTTTAGATTTATTTATTTTATGTATGTGGATGTTTTGTCTTCATGTATGTCTGCACACTAGCAGAAGGCATCAGATTCAGTGGGACTACAAGTTATAGATAGTTCTAAATTGCCATATGAGTGCTGGGACTTGAACCCAGGATCTCTGCAATAGTTGCTATTGCTCTTAACTGCTGAGCCATCTCTCCAACCCCTTAATTTTTTTTCATGGGAAACTTACAATATTCCCACTTTTTGAGATTGTCGGCTATATGTCTAGTAGACTTAAAACTTGGAGCTTCTCTTTTAGGTCAGTATCAGCTACAATGAAGAATAGAAAACTGTCTCCATAAATCTCCCGAAACTCAGCAGTAAAATCAAAGAACTCAAGTTTGAGAAAAGCTATCATGACAGGAGACATTCAATGTCCGTTCAGTAGAGCTTGAGGAATATCATCTGGTTGCAAAGAGTTGCAAAGTTGACCCAGCTAAAAAACAGCACCCAACAGGGGGTGCTGTCATTGCGGGTGCGTTGAAGAAGACCACCAGCCTGGTGGGATTGGCAGTGTGCAACACCCCACATGAGAGGCTAACAATATTGTATACAAAGATTCTTGATATTCTGAAGCAGATCCTTTAAACATGCAGCCTATAGAAAATAGACAGAACAGATCACCAATGAGAAGCTGGATATGGTCAAGGCGGAACCAGATGTTAAAAAATTAGAAAACTTGCCTCAGGGTGGTAAAGTAGAAGAGGTGATTCTTCAGGCTGAAAATGAACTAAGTTTGGCAAGGAAGATGTTGCAGTGGAATCCATTGGAGCCACTGGTGGAAGAGCCTCCTAGTAGTACTAATCTGTGGGAAATAAAATAAAATAAAAAGATTTTTAAATTTTTAGCAGATTCAGGAGATTTTACTGATAGTTCTTTGTTGTTGTTGTTGTTTTCCAAAATAGGGTTTCTCTGTATAGCACTGGTTGTCCTAGAATTCTGTAAACTGAGCTGGTCTTGAGCTCACAGAGATCTGCTTGCCTCTGCCTCTTAAGGGCTGGGATTAAAGGCGTGTTCCACGTTCCACGACACTCTGCTAACTGATGGTTCTTAACTAGGAAGAAAGAAGAACTAATGGCCCCTGATAGTCCTAGTCCATGGGGAAGGTAGTGGTGCTAGAACACGAGCTCTGCAGAGGAACAGTTTCCCTGCTGTGTTCCTTTAGTGTTTCCCACAATAGCCAGTGTGCATGAGCATTCAGAAAATATTGGTGGATTGAGTTAAGTCCCTAAAAGTCACTTCTCTAACAAGAAGCTAATGACAGGACTTCTGGAGTACAGAGATTGTGACCATGTCTTCTTCAGTCAGAATCTTTCTAATTTAGTGTTCCCACCTGGAACCGTGTTGTATTGTGATATTTACTCCCTGGGAAAAATGACTACTCTCCAGAGAGGTTTCTCACCCATAGGACATCTGACAAGAAATCGAGCACTTAACAAAACCACATTCTGAAACTTGAAATAACTTTACATTCCCTTTCTCTCCCTCTAGCCTGTTATCTGAGACTCTAATGACAAATCCAAGCTATTACTCTTGAGATTTATTGGAAGGGTCCAGAGCAGTAGAGGAGGAGTGTGGAAGATAGGCCTTCCTACTGCTTCTGAAGGGCTTACTACACATGATTGGATTTCAGCAACACCTAGCCCATAATAGCACTTTTTTTTTTGTTATCGTCATGGGTTGTATATGATGAATATGAATGAATGGGAAAATTGAAAAATTACAAAGTAGGGCTATTCTGGCATATTAACGAATTTAGAGAAATTGACCTTAGTGTCCTAAGCTTTTTCTGTTCGTTATTATTTATATACAGAAATATCTAATTTGCAGTCAGTCTGTCTTTTCCTTGTCTCACAAGCAAAACTATGATAATATCCAAAATGTTACAATGTAGGAAGTTTAATAGGTGTCAGTTGGTGCTTTGTGGTGATGCTCTCTTGAGGGATGGTGCGTGCGTGGTGATTTTGGCTGGGTGAGGTTTATGGAGACAAGCACTGTTGCACCCCCTTAGTGAGAATACACAGCATTAAAACTGTTGAAGACGACAGTTTGTCAGGTAATTACTAAACCCTAACAAGTAATGGTGTTTTAACTTAGGAAGTCCATTTCTAGGCAAATTCCCAGTAAAGCCACGAGACATCATCCTAATGCTGCTGAAACCCTTCAGTGTCCAGAAACATGATTAAGGAGATAATGTGCCATTGTCATCTTCTGTTTTCTTCTTTTCTTTTTTCCTTTTTGTTTTCTTTGAGACAGGGTTTCTCTGTGTAACAGTTCTGGCTGTTTTGGTACCAGCTTTTGTAGATAAGGCTAGCCTCGAACTCACAGATCTCCTCCTGCCTCTGCCTCTGCTGAGATTAAAGGCATGTACCACCACCGCCCTGCTAAGATTTTTTGGGGGCGTGGAGAAACATCTGCTGTTTTCTAATCTTTGGTGCTGGGTGTGATCCAGGGCCTCAAATATGCGAAGTGCACTTGTCTGTCACTGAGCTATGCCCTCAGCTTTTCTTTACAACCTGCATATTTTATACTCTCTAAATTCTTGATTAATTAAATTGATTTAATATTTGTTTTAATGTGTATGGGTATTTTGCCTGCATGTATATTTGTGTACCATGTGCATTCTTGGTGTCCAAGGAGGACTGTAGAGGGTCAAATCCCCTGAGACTGGAGTTACAGGTGGTTGTGAGCCACCAAATGGGTGTTGGGAACCAAAACCAGGTTCTCTGGAAGAGTAGCCACTGTTATTAACCACTGTGCACTCTCTCCAGCCCCCTCTAAATTCTTAATTAATCAATTAATTTTAGTTATTTAAATTTTAAATTATTCATTTTGTCCTTTTTAATGTTCTGTTTTCTGTTGTAAATTAATGTCATCCTGTGGAACATTTAAAAAGTCATAACATCGTGAAAGATCAGTGAAAAATATTCATGGTAATTGATCATTCACACACATAATGATTATTAATGCCTTAACTATGCTCCACTGCCATCTATCTATTTGGTGTTTTTTTAACAGATCATACTGACAATTTAACTCTTCATATTTTTATTATATCATTATGTAAATGCAAACACTTGCATTCAGTTACCTTAAATACATGTCATAATCAATTCTTTTAAAATTAGTATACAAAGTATTAGGAGTCATTATAGCATTTTAAAACATAAATGTAAAACTGGGGAAAGAGGGCTGGAGAGACAAACAGGAGAGAAGATTCAACAAAACATCACTTACCAGGTACTCCTTTCAGGTGACTAAGATTGTTATTTACTGTTTTAAATAAATACTTTTGTGGGTGTTAAATGTGTTTGTATATAAAGCTACTTACTTTGGAAAAGGAGAAAGACCATTCCACATTTTGAGTTATTTTATAGATAAATGACTCTTTTCCTAAATTGACATAATAAAGACATATATAGAAAGCAAAAGAGAATTAAACAGGTTATAAAATCATTGTACCTGAGATAGGATTATTCAGATTTGTACATAAATACTAAGAACATATATTATGACTTTATAATAATATAAATATATATTAAATATATAACAAAATAGAAGCAATAAATGTTTACATTTGCTTTTTGTATTCCCATGTTCTCTTAATAAGCCTAAATTTTGCTTATTACAGATAATGATGAACCTCTTCTGAGTGGATTTGGTGATGTATCCAAAGAATGTGCAGAAAAAATTCTTGAAACATGGGGAGAACTACTGTCAAAATGGTGAGTTACAGAATCACTCTGCCTCTCATTGTCACCTCATCTCATGGACAGGGAATCCTACCTCCTTCCCAATCTAGAACTGATAGCAGAAATCTGCAAATGAGGCCTCATTCTAGGATATAGTAGGCATTTATAAGGGTTACAGCAGAGATTTGAATCAGTTTTCAGACTTACCAGAAGCCTAGCAAAGTCTCATTGATAGAAAAGAATTTCCAGACATGGAATTCATAGACAGAGAGGGAGAAATTAATTGGTCCTGTACAGTGAAGAACATAGGTAGATTATAAGAACTCTGTCATTCTCTAATGCCAGAGCTGCTTCTTACTTGCCAAGCTCTAAATGAAGAAGCTTAAGGAGGTCTCTGTACAATGGCTTGCACAAAGAAGACTGCCCCATAAATCTCCTTGCAAGAGTGTGCCCTCTACTCGAGGTGAGGAAAAGTAATGGTCACAGGCCTGATTGTACGATACTGTGAAATTAGATGCTCTCAGGAGTGCATTGGACTTAGATTAGACATCCTTACAGTCTCTGGTAAGAAATTCCTTAGGCTTTCAAAACAAGTATGGGCTTCCAAAACGTGGCTATTGGTGCTGTGCAGGAGGCAGATGAGATGGCCTGTCTTGTTTGCCTTTGTATGTTATCCAGGCCAAATGTTTATCAGTTATACCAGAAAATGCCCTGTTAGCAGACCATGTTGGTGAACTTGCTTAAGAATCCCCTATGGCTGGGCTGTGATAGTGCACGCCTTTAATCCCAGCACTCGGGATACAGAGGCAGGCAGATCTCTGTGATGAGGCCAGCCTGGTCTACAAGAGCTAGTTTCAGGACAGTCATGAAAGTTACACAGAGAAACTTTGTTTTGAAAAAAAAAAATAGAAAGAAAAAGAATCTACTTTGATGGAAAACAGTTCATCTACACAGTATGTTTTCCTCTCTTCCAGTTATTGGTAATTCTCAATGTTAGATAATTTTCCCTATGGAGTTTAAAGGTATCTAAGTACAATTGGCAAGTAGAAAATAAGGGGCAGAAGTCAGATATTGGCAGTTTTCCCATTGCCGTTTGTGTGGGAAATTTTAATATAAAGGTAAGGCAAAAAAAAAAAGCGATGCTGTATGTGAGCATGTGTCCGTGAGCAGAGCAGCAGCGCACCTTTACAGCAACTGTATTTTTAGTAAAGCCGTGTCTCAGCAGATGTTATGACCCTTAAGGCTAGCAGTACACATGCCGATGCTTTCACAATGCTTTACACTTTGAACAAAAAAATACTGTCTGCAGCCAGGCAGTGATGGCGCACACCTTTAATCCCATCACTCAGGAAACAGAGGCAAGTGGATTTCTGTGCATTAGAGCCTAGCCTGGTCTCTGTGAGCTAGTTCTAGGACAGGCTTCAAAGTTACACAGAGAAACTAAAAAAAAGAAAGAAAGAAAAAAAGCAAACCACTCTCTGCATTTCATTGGGAAAATGTCAGAAATGTATAAAAGAAAACGACAAATCAAACCATGAATTGTCTTTAGACAAATGACCTGGAATGCATAAACTATGCAAAAGCCCTCGGGAGCGTTTCTTCTTTTTTTTTAATTAATTAATTTATTTATTAAAGATTTCTGTCTCTTCCACGCCACCGCCTCCCATTTCCCTCCCCCTCTCCCAATCAAGTCCCCCTCCCTCGTCAGCCCAAAGAGCAATCAGGGTTCCCTGCCCTGTGGGAAGTCCAAGGACCACCCACCTCCATCCAGGTCTAGTAAGGTGAGCATCCAAACTGCCTAGGCTCCCACAAAGCAAGTACGTGCAGTAGGATCAAAAACCCATTGCCATTGTTCTTGAGTTCTCAGTAGTCCTCATTGTCCGCTATGTTCAGCCAGTCCGGTTTTATCCCAGGCTTTTTCAGACCCAGGCCAGCTGGCCTTGGTGAGTTCCCAATAGAACATCCCCATTGTCTCAGTGTGTGGGTGCACCCCTGCGGTCCTGAGTTCCTTGCTCGTGCTCTCTCCCCTTCTGCTCCTGATTTGGACCTTGAGATTTCTGAACCTGATAGAAGAGAAAGTGGGAAGTACTCTACAACACATGGGCACAGGAGACCACTTCCTACGTATAACCCCAGCAGCACAGACATTAAAGGGGCTCATTGAATAAATGGGACCTCCTGAGACTGGGAGCGTTTCTTCTTAAATTGTGATGTTTCTTTACTCTCAGGAGTCAGTCAGTCTCAGCTTCCCCTCAGTGAGTTTCGAGGGTGTGAACTGCTGATGCAGAAAGTCTTACAGACATGAAATGTTCCTACTCTAAACCAGCATTACAATCAGTGCTGACCTAATTTCATAGTAGCGTGTTTAAAATCATCTCCATGGTATTTACAGTCGAATGCATTTTCTGTCCAGGAACTCACTCTGTAGCCCAGGCTGGCCTTGAACTCACAGAAATCTACCTTACTCTGCCTCCAAGTGCTGGCAAGAACTCATTTAATTCTGTGAATCAACATATTTCATTTAATGACTTAGTTTGATGTCAAACTTTGTTGCTCATAATCAGCTGTGTCCTCCCATTCTCTTAAACATATTAACTGAATTCCCATCTGTGTCTGCTGTCATCAGATTTTTTTCAACTGCTTTTGCTTGAGTCATTTCTCCAGATATTTAATAATCTAATAATCTATTCTGTTTCGTCCATCTCATCATTTTCGTCTTCCTTAGGTGTTCTATGAACATTGTAATATGGAAATTAGGAGTTTGCAAAACTACTAATAGTCCTGTTGTTTAGAATTTATAGATTTTAGGGTTGTAGTAATCATAGTTGAAACATTTATCATGTGCCAAACACAGTGTCAAATTATATGCACTCTTTCAACTATAACAATATTACAAACTTCTGCATTTTCACACACGGGGTAAGCATTCTAATAAGCATAGCCATAATTTTTTAACATAACATGTCTGATCTTGAAGTTAGTTTATTTATAAAAGTAGATTTTAATACAGTATTAGTAAGTATCTTTGTATGTCATTTTCCAGGTTCATTTGAATATGATTCTTGGAAGATAGGAGTACTGATGTACTGATGTCCTCAGTTTAAAATAAATAGTATGCTAGTTATATGTAGAGTTAAAACTGTCAATGGTTGAAATCACTCTGAAAGAAATTTTACCACTGTGAATTAGGGTTAGCAAATATTTCTATGAAGGACCAAAGAATAAATATTTAAGACATAGTGGCCCAATGATAGTCTGTCACAACTACTCACCTCTACTACAGAAAATCAAAACAATCATACACAATACAGAGAAGTACTCATAATTGTGTCGTAAAAGTATTTACGAAAGAGATGGAGGGCTGTATTTAGCTTAAAGGCTATAGTGTTTCAAACCTTTAGTTAGCAGCAGAACAGCTAATTCTTTCTCTCTCTCTCTCTCTCTCTCTCTCTCTCTCTCTCTCTCTCTC